AATAGAATAGAGTAGAGTAGAGTAGAGTAGAGTAGAGTAGAGTAGAGTAGAGTAGAGTAGAGTAGAGTAGAGTAGAACAGAACAGAACAGAACAGAACAGAACAGAACAGAACAGAATAGAATAGAATAGAATAGAATATTGGGAATGGAATGGAATGGAATGGAATGCAATGCAATGCAATGGAACAGAATAGAATAGAATAGAATAACAGAGTTGGAAGGGACCTTGGAGGTCTTCTAGTCCAACCCCCTGCTTAGGCAGAAAACCCTATACCATTTCAGACAAATGGTTATCCAACATCTTCTTAAAAACTTCCAGTGTTGAAGCAGTCACAACTTCTGCAGGCAAGTTGTCCCACTGATTAATTGTTCTAACTCTCAGGAAATTTCTCCTTAGTTCTAAGTTGCTTTTCTCCTTGATTAGTTTCTACCCATTGCTTCTTGTCCTGCCCTCAGGTGCTTTGGAGAATAGCTTGACTCCCTCTTCTTTGGGGCAGCCCCTGAGAGATCAGTGGAACAACTTGCCTCCAGGAGTTGTAAATGCTCCAACACTGGAAGTTTTTAAGATGTTGGATAACCATTTCTCTGAAGTAGTGCAGGGTTTCCTGCCTAGGCAGGGGGTTGGACTAGAAGACCTCCAAGGTTCCTTCCAACTCTGTTATTCTATTCTATTCTAACTGTGCCCAATGCCTCCTGATACAAGAGAGCCATAACAAGGTACACAAAATATGACCGTCATCCTGGCCCTTTTCTGAAGATGAAGCTGTCCAGGTGTTTCTTTCTATTGATTCTATATTAAAATTATTTGGAGCTCTTGAGGCATGGCCTTCCTGCAACAGCGAGAATCTGAATGTTTACGGGGGCTCCACACAGCTCTTAAAATGGCAAAGCTCTTTCCATAAAATAAATCCAGAAATACTCATCCCCACCAACAAAATCCTATTTCATTCTTGCTTAGTCGCAGAAGCTCATTTAGCTGAAACCCAATTTCTTCCGGCAACTGTTATTTTAATTAACTGTTTACCCTTCTTTTCAGCAGCAACATTTAGCCAATTAATTAGATTATTTCTGTTCACATTATGGTAGCATCACGCTTTGGATTTTCCTTAGTTAAACTGTTTCTATTTCCACGACAGTGGCACCTTTCTCTTTCTGACTGAGCAGAGAAAAGCACATCGTGGCCTTCCAGATGTTGCTGAAATATAATTCCCAAGATCCCTCACCATTGCTCATCCTGCCAAGAAAGAACTGCAAGTTGAAAAAAAATTCAGCAACACCTGAAAGCTAGAGATGCCTCTAGTAGAGCATTCATTAATTCAATATTTACATTGTTATTTAAATGACTGCATTGTGCCATGAGCCTCCAAGACATCCAGTTAAACGTAGCGATTCCTGCCAAAAAAAAGGAGAATGGTTTAAAAGAGAAGAATTCCACTAGAGCAAAACACATGCATGTTCTTTAACAATGTGTAAAAGCGATGCAGAATTTGAAAGCTCAGATTTGGTAGCAGGGAACTTATGCCCATGTTAAAAAGGCATTTTTCTAGATGCTTCGGCTAACCAGTGCTTCTGGCTGCGACGCTTTTAAAAATTTGAAGTTTTCAGCAGCAAATGCACTTTTGAAAAAGGAGAAGTTTTCAGCAGCCAATGCGCTTTTAAAAAGGTGAAGTTTTCAGCAGCAAATGCAATTTTTAAAAGGTGATGTTTTCAGCAGCAAATACCCTTTTAAAAAGGTGAAGTTTTCCGCAGCAAATATGCTTTTAAAAAGGCGAAGTTTTCAGCAGCAAATGCACTTTTGAAAAAGGCGAAGTTTTCAGCAGCAAATGAGCTTTTAAAAAGGTGAAGTTTTCAGCAGCAAATGCAATTTTTAAAAGGTGATGTTTTCAGCAGCAAATACCCTTTTAAAAAGGTGAAGTTTTCCGCAGCAAATATGCTTTTAAAAAGGCGAAGTTTTCAGCTGCAAATGCACTTTTTGAAAAGGCGAAGTTTTCAGCAGCAAATATGCTTTTAAAAAGGTGAAGTTTTCAGTAGCAAATACACCTTTAAGTACCCTTTTAAAAAGGTGATGTTTTCAGCAGCAAATACCCTTTTAAAAAGGCAAAGTTTTCAGCAGCAAATGCGCTTTTAAAAAGGTGACTTTTCAGCTGCAAATGCACTTTTTAAAAAGGCGAAGTTTTCAGCAGCAAATATGCTTTTAAAAAGGCCGAAGTTTTCAGTAGCAAATACACTTTTAAGTACCCTTTTAAAAAGGCGAAGTTTTCAGCAGCAAATATGCTTTTAAAAAGGCGAAGTTTTCAGTAGCAAATACCCTTTAAAGTACCCTTTTAAAAAGGTGAAGTTTTCAGCAGCAAATATACTTTTTAAAACTTGGAAGTTTCAGCAGCAAATATGCTTCTAAGCGGTGAAGTTTTCAGCAGCAAATAAATACATAGCATCAACGCGTTAGAGTTGAAGAAGCTGTCTTATCTCCCCCTTTCCACAGTGAGTGAAGAAACTGAGGTCAACAAGGACAAAACAACAAGAGGCAAATGTTTCTCGCGGAGGCTGCTTCTTAAGCAAAGCTTTGAAAGAAGGGTATTGTGTACATATGCAATGTCAACGGACAAATATCACCAGCTTTTCCTCGTGCTTTGCTTTGGAAAAGAAAAACAACAGCAGCAGCAGCATAATCTCCTCCAATGCGTGGGCTTTTATTAAACTGTTTTGGAAGGAAAGCCCTCCCTTTTCAAAGGGAAAGAGAAAGATTCTGCGTTTGAATTTTAAAGCACACGGGCAAACACACACACAAGCACAAATAGTACAGTAAATTGATTTAGCAAACAGACAAGTGGTTTAGAGAAGGGAGTGGTGCAGTGGCCTAGAGATGGAGCTTTCACAGGAGGCTGTGAGTTTGATCCTAGGTAGAGGCAGATATTTCTCTCTCTGGGCACAATGAGAATATATCTGCTGAACAAAACGCCGCATTGGTGACAGGAAGGGCATCCGGCCAGTAAACACTCTGCTAGTTCCATTCAGTTGCCCAGACTCCGCCCCGCAAGGGATTATGGGGTCGTTAAAAGAAGATGATGATAAGTGGTCTAGAGAAGGTCCGAGAGCCAGTTTGGTGTCATTCTTCAAGGCTTCAGGCCAGAAACTGGGCGACTGGGAGTTCTAGTCTCATCTTAGGTACAAAGCCAGCTGGGTGATTTTGGGCCAGTCACTTTCTGTCAGTGACCGAAGGAGGCAGTGACAAACCAATTCAGAAAAACCTCTGCAAGAAAACTACTCAGGCAGTCTCCAAGAATCAGACATGATTGAATAAAGGGAGAGAGACAGAGACAGACAGAGAGAGAGAGAGACGGAGACACAGAGACACAGAGACACAGAGAGAGACAGAGAGAGAGAGAGACAGAGAGAGACAGAGACAGAGAAAGAGACAGAGACAGAGATAGAGAGACAGAGACAGAGACAGAGAAAGAGACAGAGACAGAGAGACAGAGAGAGAGAGACACAGAGACACAGAGAGAGAGACAGAGAGAGAGAGAGAGAGAGACACAGAGAGACACAGAGACACAGAGACACACAGAGAGAGACAGAGACAGAGAGACAGAGAGACAGAGAGAGACAGAGACAGAGACAGAGACAGAGAGACAGAGAGACAGAGAGACAGAGAGAGACAGAGAGACAGAGAGAGACAGAGACAGAGAGACACATAGAGAGAGAGACAGAGAGAGAGAGAGACAGAGACAGAGAGAGACACAGAGAGAGACAGAGACAGAGAGACAGAGAGACAGAGAGAGACAGAGACAGAGAGACACATAGAGAGAGAGAGACAGAGAGAGACAGAGAGACACATAAAGAGAGAGAGACAGAGAGAGACAGAGAGAGAGACAGAGAGAGAGACAGAGACAGAGACAGAGGCACACACACAGAGAGAATGAATGAACGAATTTCAGCAAGCTATGCTCTCTTTTAGGATCCATTCTATCCTCCATTCTCAAATCTAACTATCTGTCTGTCTTTCTGTCTATCTGTCTCCATCCACTCATTCACCTACTTACCCAGCCAGCTATCCACCCACCCATTCATCCAGGCATCCACCCAATTGTAATTCATGCTAAAATGCTCTATCAAACAGGGTATTTTTATTAGAAAGACCATCCACTCATGTTCTTCTTCTCCTTGGGAAGAACACCCCACCTCTTCTAGCTCAACGGTCCATGGTTCTCTCTTTCTAGAGAGCTTTCTGGAGTGTGACTAGAACTGGTTGGGAAGTGAGATCGTTTCTCTGCTCGCCTCCACAGAGGCCTCTATGATCCCGAAATTATATTTTCATTCCTGTAAAGTTTGGAATCGCTCCAAATAGTTAACAGTAGCAGAGTTGGAAGGGACCTTGGAGGTCATCCAGTCCAACCCACTGCTCACGCAGGAGACCTGTACTAGGGATTCGAACCGCCGAACTGCCGACCTTTCTGATCCACAAGCTCGGTGTGTCTTAGCCACTGAGCCACCTCGTCAGGCTATTTTGTTACACCATTCCTTTGATTTTTTTTTTTTTAATTTGATTTATATGCCGCCCTTCTCCGGAGACTCAGGGCAGCTTACAGTGCGTTAAGCAAGAGCCTTCATACTTTTGTATATTTATACAAAGTCAGCTTATTGCCCCCACAACTGGGTCCTCAATTTACCTACCTTAGAAAGGATGGAAGGCTGAGTCAACCTTGAGCCTGGTAAGATTCGAACCTGCAGTAATTGCAGGCAGCTGTGTTAATAACAGGGTGCTTTAGACCACTGTACTACCAAGGCCCTTGATTCATGGACAGGGGGCCATTTAGCTAGGTAAAAAGTTCATCATATGGGAAATGAGTTTGTAAATAAAATGTAGGATGTCCTTGAGTGCAGGAATTCTCGTGCGGCAGAAATACATGAAGTGATTGACCTCTCTATCTACTGAGGTACGAGATGCTTCCCGGCTCACTTCCTGTTATAGAAATTCTGGCAGCTGCGGAGTGGCACTCCAGCGAAGGACTTATTCTGGGTTGCTTCTCTGAGAAATAGACATCTGGTTCTTTTGATATCCCAGAGAAGAACGTGGTATGTGGCTTTCTGATAAAGCGTGTTGCTGAGTCATGGCTGGGGAGGTCTTTACGGAGATCCCCGTCCGGCTGGTAGCAGGTTGCTCAGCTCACCGTCCTCGTCACGACTTCTGGCTGAGACGGGACGAGCGAAGCCACTTCCAACCAAGGGGGATTTCACTGCCATGAAAGGCCACCGTCTTCCCTAGAGAGTACCCTGCCCTGAAAAATTACCCAGCGCATCAGTGGGGAAGACTTGTGGCAAACCAGTCCGTGGTGGAAGGCAGTTCTCAGCAACAGTTGGTGGCCAGCTTAAAGACAGGATGGCGAGTTGGCTTCGTAATCCCCTAAAGGAACCAGAGATTGAGCTGTTTGTAAAGGTCAGTTCCTATTCGTTGCAAAGATAGGCTTTGGGGCAGGTGTCAAAGACTTGTTAAAAAATAATAATAATAATAAGCAAGCTGTGGGGCAGAATACCAGAGGACTGGCAAACCAGAACAGGAAATCGTAAACGTAATGGGCATGATAGTGGGTGGCTGAGACCTTTAAGTCTAGAAGAGTCTACAGTTATGAAACTATGCTACTACATGGGTAGATTAAATTAAGGTTTCCGGACATTTGATACTTCGTGAGCTCCAACTTACTAACTGTTTGGTTAAGAGCTTGGGTGTGGCCATTAAGAAATCTTGTCCAAGACCTTGGCTTGGAGTTGACCAAATGTTTCAAGAGTTCATTTTTTTGCTGACCAAAATACTTTTTTTGGCCATTGACCGATGTCATGGGATCTCGTTGCAATCCATTCTTACTACTGGAGAAAGGTAAATGTAGCATGGACGAGAGGACAGAGGTAGGATGGAAAAAACTCCTGTGAGATCTATCCAGAGATGACACTTTATACTTAGGTGTCCCTGCACCGCTGTGTAACTCATGGTGGGAATTCTGAACTCTGATACAAGAACTTGAACTGAGTTAGAATTCACAAGTAAACTTAACCCTGTCCTCTTAGGGAAGCAAAAATCAGAGGTGCAGTTTCCTTTCTCCGTGTGTTAACCAACTTATGGGACAAGTGTGCCTGAGTTAATGATTTACGAGAAGTCATTCTCTTTCTAATCCTTTTTTAAAAATTATTATTCCTTTTGTCTTCTCCCTTCTCCTTCCAAAACAATTGTGTGCAAATACCATACTCCATGCACTAATACGGTTCTGACGAAATGAATTCCTATCCATAAAAACTGATGCCACAATAAATTGGGTGGCCTTTTAATAACATCGGTTAGCTTCACTTTGAAAAGATTCCATCCTTACACTGGATGGAATCCTATACAATGAATGAAGATGCAAAGACATCTTCATTCTTTGTATAGTTGTGACTCATATAATTCACCTTTCACAACTGCCTTCAGTCTTCCCCCCCCCTTTTTTTTTTGGATCAGAGTTTTGGCCAGGGAGTTACCATGTTTGTAAGTAGCAAATTGCTCTTACTCAAAATCTGCACCAAAATACAGAAGGAGTTTTCGTTTTTCTTAATGGCCCGAGGCAAATCTTCCTAGCTTGGGCCCAATAAATCTAAAGAGCAACTGATTTAAAAAAAATTGATACAGCTCATCCTTCTGTGGATTTCTGTGGAAACCATCGTCTGTGGTAAGAGCTGTGGTGGCAGCACTGCAGGCTGTGTTCAAATCTCACTGGCTCAAGGTTGACTCAGCCTTCCATCCTTCCGAGGTCAGTAAAACGAGGACCCAGATTGTTGGGGGGTAAGAGGCTGACTCTGTAAACTACGTAGAGAGGCCTGTAAAAGTACTGTGAAGTGGCATATAAATCTAAGTGTGATTGCTATTTCTATAGCACACTAGACCAGTATTTCTCAATATTTCTCTTGGGAACTTTAAAGTGTGTGGACTTCCCCAGCCTGCTGGCTGGGAAATTCCAAGAATTGATGTCCACACATCTTGAAGTTTCTCAAGATTGAGATCCACTGTAGCAGAACGTGCTGTTTTGCCGTGGCATTTGGGGTGAACCCAAATTATTTATTTTATTTATTTTATTTATTTATTTATTGGTTCAATTTATATGCCGCCCTTCTCCAGAGACTCAGGGCGGCTTACAATGCATTAAGCAATAGCCTTCATACTTTTGTATATACCTGCTTAGTAGGGCTTTCGGCCCCCCCAAACGGTGTTCTTTTTATACAAAGTCAGCTTATTGCCCCCACAATCCGGGTCCTCATTTTACCTACCTCGGAAGGATGGAAGGCTGAGTCAACCTTGAGCCTGGTGAGATTTGAACTTGCAGTAATTGCAGGCAGCTGGCAGCTAAGTGCTACTTAACAGCACTTTAGTCCGCTGCACCACCAAGGCTCCTCCTAAACCAGGCTTTTAAGCCTTTACCATATTTGATCTTTGAGCTGAATGTTACTGAAGTGCTTAAAAAAGATCCTTCAACAAATAAATACCTCACGCAACGTGTAAACTAACTATGGTTCCTCAGGTGTGCGATAGACAAGTCACTCTGCTCTCAGTGTCTTGATTCTGCCATTTGCCACAATTTGACGCTCGGCTCTAGCTGGTGGACTAATTTTTGGTTCTGCAATAAAAAACCTTGGTTCTAATTTACATGGAAGCTGGGACATGACCACAGAAGTGAAGACAAGGCTAGAGAAAGCTCGAACAGCCTTCTTCAAAATGAAAGAGGTCTTCTGCAGTCACGACATAAGCTTAAGATTGAAAATCAGGCTTGTCAGATGTTATATCTTTTCAATCCTGCTCTATGGAGTGGAGAGTTGGTCTCTGATAGAAAGCCACTTGAAGAGACTAGAAGCATTTGAAAAGTAGATTTACAGACTGCTATAACATATAAGCTGGGTGGACAAAATCAGAAAGGAGGAGGTGATAAGCCACCTGGGGAAGCCAAAGGAAATCATCAAAACCATTAAAAAGCGAAAATTAGAATATTTCGGACATGGGATGCGACACCCGAAAAAATACAGCATACTTCACCTTAATCCTCCAAGGAAAAATTGAAGGCAAATGAGGTTCAGGCAAAAGAACATCATGGCTTCAAAATCTAAGGGACCAGTTTGGATAAAACTCAGCAGCACTTTTTCGTGAAGCTGTTGATAAAAATAGGATGGCCAACATGATCGCCAACGTCCGATGACAGCTATGGCACAAGAAGAAGAGAATAAAAACTGACTTGTAAATTTTCCTATAGCCTTCTATATACAGTAGTGGCCAAATTTTGGGAAAAGTGTATTTTTGAGGTTTGATGGCTAATAACACCACTTTTTTTGGTTGGAGTTTCAAGATAATCCTATTCTACTGCTGGAATGGCCTGAGAATAGACCAGACCTTAACCCAATGGAAAATCGATGGAGCCGGCTAAAGAAACTTGTTAGTCAGAAGCGACCCAGCGATAAAACCCAGTTAATAGAAGCCATCATTCAATCTTGGTTTCACATTAGAACAGCTGCAGAACTAAAAGACTTGGTTCACTCTAGGGGAAGACGTTGTAAGGCCATAATTCATGCTAAAGGTTACCCAACTAAGTATTAACTAACATGGTGATCATTTTTGTATATCTCGTTTCTTTTAGGGTGATAATTTTTGTCTATCTCGTTTTTTCTACATGATTCACTTTTCTTCTTTATACTGTAACTGCTATTCTAATAGCAAATCCTCTATAAAAGTTATTGCATTACATTCTTGATTAAATTATCTTTCCATTGATATATAATTTTATGGTACTACTCAGTGGTGGGTTTCAAATATTTTTACTACCGGTTCTGTGGGTGTGGCTTGGTGGGCGTGGCTTGGTGGGCATGGCAGGGGAAGGATATGGTAAAATCTCCATTCCCACCCCACTCCAGGGGAAGGATACTGTAAAATCCCCATTCCCACCCCACTCCAGGGGAAGGATACTGTAAAATCCCCATTTCCTCCCAATCAACTGGGACTTGGGAGGCAGAAAATAGATGTGGGCATGGCCAGTCAGAATTTTTACTACCGGTTCTCCGAACTACTCAAAATTTCCTCTATCGGTTCTCCAGAACTGGTCAGAACCTGCTGAAACACACCTCTGGTACTACTCCAAAAAAAAATAAGTGGTGTTATTAACTAGTTTTAGAAAATACACTTTTCCCAAAAGGTTTCCACAATTTTGGCCACTACTGTAGTATTCCTATAATACTATAAACTGAGACTGTATTTGGGGAGAGAATCCCGTTTTTTTCTTAAAACCAGGAATCTACCTCTTAGGGTTGTGTGCAGGGAAGAGAAGCGGAAAGAAGCAAGCTCGTGAGAAGTCCTTCCCACACTGTATGTTCAGAGTTTAAAAGAACATGCATGGAAAATTCCGATTAGTTCAGCTACCGCTTCCTTATAAGATCTAATCAAAAGGAATAAGAAAGGGGGAAAGAATGGAGAAAATCTCCGATGACCCTTAGACGAAAACGTTTGTTGTTTTCCTTCCACACCTTTCCTTCTGGGGTTTTCCTCCCTCCTCGACACTTTGTGTTGTATCCAACGTTCCCCGCTGGGAAGGACTGCCTGTGCTCAGCAATCCTTTATCTCATTTCCTGAACAACTCACAATCGCGGACCCCGAAGACGAAGAGGGCTACAATAGGTTGGCAAAGCCACATTGGGAGTTTTCGGTATTGCTTTCACCCCTGATCCAAGCCCGCACCTAAGGAAGCGGAAATCATGTGGCTATTTGCTTTGAAAACAGAACAAAACAATCGTACTGGCTTCCAGTTAGAAAGCTCTTTTCGAGCAGCAGGGATTGGCCTGAAATAGGATTGGGTCAACTTTATGAAGGAACCCAAAGGTGATTTTCAAAAGGCAACTGGGCCTTTCTTGGTTTTTATCATTGAAAACCTTTCGCTTCTCATCTCGTTCTGAAGAGGTTTCTTAGATGAGAAGCGAAAGGTTTTCAAGAAAAACAAAACCCAAGAAAATCGAGCTGCCTTTTGAAAAGCACCTTGGGACAACAAGGATCTGGGTGGTTGAGAATCTCCATTGACTTCTGAAGAAGGCAAGAGAAAGCTGCTAAAATCAGAATAACAGAGAGTTGGAAGGAACCTTGGAGGTCTTCTTAGTCCAACCCCTTGCTCAGGTTGGAAAGTCTATACCCGTGATGGTGAACCTATGGCACACGTGCCACAGGTGGCACACAGACCCCTCTCTGCGGGCACATCAGCCGTCGCCCCAGCCCAGCTCCACTGTGCATGCATGCGCGCCTCCCACTGGCCAGAGGGTTTCTTCCCTCTGAGCCACCCTGAGTCTTCAGAGAGGAGCGGCATATAAATTGAATTAATTAAATAAAATAAAATAAATTAATTCTGCCGCGCATGCGCCGGGGGTGGGGCACATGCGTAGGGGGGAGCAGATTGGTGCAGGAAGTTTTCCAGGCCCAAAATGTGCCCCATCTATATGTTTTATTCTATGGCTGTTCACCGCCCTGAGTCCTTCAGGAGTAGGGCGGTATATAAATTCAATAAAACTAAAACTAAACTAAAACTAAACCTGGAAGCTAAAACAGCCCCAGGCACATGCATGGGGGGGCATGTATGGGGGGCGCATGTATGGTGGAATGCTCACATTGTAGTTTGGGGGTTCGGGCACGCACCTGCATTCGGGCACACACACATGCTTTGGGCCCTCGGCACCAAAAACGTTACCCATCCCTGGCCTATACCATTTCAGACAAATGGTTGTGCCGTCTCTTCTTAAAAACTTCCAGTGTTGGAGCATTCACAACTTCCGGAGGCAAGTTGTTCCACAAGTCCAGTGAAATAGGAAGCCCCACAGATGTCTTAACTCCCATCCAAGATTTGTTTGACGGTTATGGAGAAAATGTATAACTCGGGGTTGAATTGTTGGGTGCCTGATGTTCTTTCTCTTTCTCTATTGCTAGGCTAGGTAACTTTATCACCACAATGGACAATTGAGGTTTTGCTGTCTGTTTATATATGACCATTTGCCCAACCGGCCTTCTAAAACTGGACCCAGCATGAGATGGGGACATGTTCTTTAAGGCCCAGAGGGGAATGAAGATGTATCTGCTTGTTTTTTCTGCCCTTTTGTTGCTGTAAAAACTCCAGTTCTCCATCAAGTTTCGATCACTTAAACATGAGTTAGTAGCGGACAGCAGCAGCCAAAAAAGCTAATACAATCCTTGGTTGTATAAACAGAGGCATAGAATCAAAATCACATGAAGTATTAGTTCCGCTTTATAAATCCTTAGTAAGGCCACACCTGGAATCCTGCATCCAATTTTGGTCACCGCATTACAAAAAAGATGTTGAGGCTTTGGGGAGGATGAGGGAAGTGCAAAGAAGAGCAACTAAGACGATTAAAGCAGTGGTGAAATCCAATTATTATTATTTTTTTAAATTTAATTTATATGCTGCCCTTCTCCGGAGACTCAGGGCGGCTTGCAATGCGTTAAGCAATAGCCTTCATCCTTTTGTATATTTATACAAAGTCAGCTTATTGCCCCCACAAACTGGGTCCTCAATTTACCTACCTTAGAAAGGATGGAAGGCTGAGTCAACCTTGAGCCTTGGCGAGATTCGAACCTGCAGTAATTGCAGGCAGCTGGTCTTAATAACCAGCTTAATAACAGGGTGCCTTAGACCACTGTACTACCAAGGCTCTTTTTACTACCGGTTCTGTGGGCGTGGCTTGGTGGGCATGGGGTGGCTTGGTGGGTGTGGCTTGGTAGATGTGGCAAGGGAAGGATACTGCAAAATCTCCATTCCCAACCCACTCTGGGGCCAGCCAGAGGTGATATTTGCCTGTTTTCCAAACTGCTCAAAATTTCTGCTACCAGTTCTCCAGAACCTGTCAGAACCTGTTGGATTTCACCCCTGGATTTAAGGCCTTGAGACAAAACCATATGAAGAATGGTTGCAGGAACTGACTATGGCCAGTCGAGAGAAAAGAAGGACTAGGGGTGACATGATAGCAGTATTCCAGTATTTGAGGGGACCCACAAAGAAGAGGAGGTCAAGTTATTCTCCAAAGCACCAGAAGGCAGGACAAGAAGCAATGGATGGAAACTAATCAAGGAAAGAAGCAATTTGGAATTAAGGAAAAACTTCCTCTTCGCCGAAGAGGTTGTAGAAAAAATGGTTTTAAAAGTTTTAAAAAAAATTGGCCACACCCACCCAGTCACATTACCCTCCCACCCCCCCACTCCCACCCCTAAAACACATCCACAGAACCGGTAGTAACAAATTTTAGATTTCACCACTGCATCAAGGCATTGTTTCTCGACTGAGTTGATTCAAACAGAAAAAAAATGCTATAGCATGAAACTCCGGGGGTTTAAGCTCTTTGAGGAGAGCAGACAGCCAGCATCTAGAAAGCTAGACAATTCGGGCTCAATCTAATTGCTTGTCGCGGGGAAAGTGTCACTCAGAACAAATATATCGCTGTTTTTTGTTTTGTTTTGTTGTTTTGTTCCTATGACAGGCTGGCTTGGACGGACAGAACATCGGAAACTGCCCCTTTTGTCAAAGCCTCTTTATGGTGTTATGGCTCAAAGGTGTCAGATTTAATGTCACCACCGTGGATATGACAAGGTAAGAGGAGAGATGTCCTGCATTCGGACGTTCGTTCGTGAACACAACTGAAGCCTTGCGTTCAAACCAAGCTAGAATCTTGAAAATAACTGATTGAAGAGAATTCTTTATTGGCCAAGTGTTTATTGGACACACAAGGAATTTGTCTCCGGTGCAGAAGCTCTCAGTGAATGTAAAAACAACAACGTGATAATTCCCAGATCGTAAATCATAAGCTACGATCATAAATCGTAAGATACGAACGATTGATAAATCAGAAGTTACTTATTATTATTATTATTATTATTATTATTATTATTATTATTATTATTAATAATAATAATAATAATAATAATAATAATAATAATAATAATAATAATAATATTTCTATGCCGCCCACTCTCCGAGGACTCTGGGTGGCTTACAACAATTGACAATATACTAAATAGCATATTGCCCCCAACAATCTGGGTCCTCATTTTACCCACCCCGGAAGGATGGAAGGCTGAGTCAACCTTGAGCCGGTGAGATTTGATCCGCTGATCTGCTGAACTAGCAGTCAGCTGAAGTAGCTGCAATACTGCACTCTAACCACTGTGCCACCTCGGCTCTACAATAGTGGTAGATGAGAATGAGAAGATGGAAAAGATGAGAAGATGACAGGGTGTCAGGGTTCAAGTAACACCCCCAATGAAAGAAAACTCCAAGGCTTGGATTTCCTCAAAGTTACTTTTTATTAGAGATGTCATATTGGCACATCTGGGAAAACCCGAATCTGAAAGCTTCCAGGTTTTCCCCACCCAAGTGAAAGTTCAAGTCCCTGCCCAGTACCCTCATGTCCATCACATGGTCCAATCATCCACCGTCTAAACTGAAGACACTCCCCAGTCATCCGACTCCAGGTGCCAGGGCAAGGTGTCCTTGACTCTCTGAGAAATGAATGTTATTTTGACTACATATCACCCATATTCTATGCAATTCCCCCTCCCATTTTCCCACAGAAGAAGATGTGGCAGGCCTGACGGTCCAAACGTAAAAGATGGCTTCCAGGGATACAGGTCTGACATAGCAACACAGCCTACTACATAGGTCATGGGTCAATATTATTAATGGGACCTTGATCAAATCCTGCAACATATAGTAAGGAAAAGTCTGCACAAAAATGCCCAGGTTTGTGAAAAGATGGTTAAAAGAGGCTGCATAGCTGGGAAATTAAAAATTCCGTTGCAGACATATTCGTGTAAGTGTCCACTAAAACTCAGGCAAACTTAAGATATTTTTCAAGATCGGCGAAGTGAAGTTGAGATTTTTGTCCAACCTTTGCAGGTGGATCTCTAGGGATTTCTAGGAGTTAAATGAAGGGTGATCTTGTTGTGGCCAGTGGCCAGCGGAGCTGGTGGCAGACTCAGACAGTGAGGAGGTTGGGGAGGAACATGGGCCAGTCCTGGAGTCTGGGGAAGGCTCTGATGAGGGCTCTGCGTCAGAGGCAGAGATGGGGCCAGGGCCGTCTGACAGTTGTCAGCTGCCTTCGGAGTCGGACATCAGTGGGGCAGAAGAACAGCTAGAGCCTGTTCCCAATGTGGGTATACACAGAGCTGCCAGGAGAAGGGAACAGGTAGAATAGAATAGAATAAAATAGAATTCTTTATTGACCAAGTGTTATTGGACACACAAGGAATTTCTCTTGGTGCATATGCTCCCAGTGTACACAAAAGAAAACCTACATTTGTCAAGAATCATAAGGAACAACACTTAATGACAGTCATAGGGGTCGACTCAGGAGTAAAGCCACAGGTGGACAGTGAATGTCCCCTCTCATAGGAAATAAAGAGTGAAAGAGGAGGGGAGTTTGCAGGAGACAATTAGTTCGCTTAATTGGTTCGTGACTCATTGCCAAGTTTTGAAGATATCAGCCTGGCAGCTCTCCAAGCAAGATAAGGTCTGTGACTGTAAATTCTCCCTTGCAAGACTTTGCTGGATGTGAATGAGAGGAATTCACAGTAACTTAATAAAAAGTGGTTTTTTTGTTGGGACAAGGAGTCTGCTTCATGCTCTGGGGAAGCAACAGATCTAAGGGGGGGGGAAGAAGTTGGTAGATAAGGTGGGGAGAGAAAATCAAAGTTAGGAGCATCTTTCTTTCTTTATTTTCTTCCTCTCTGTTGTAATTTCCGTTTAGGAAACCTGATGAGCTGAAGGATTTGGCCCCCGGTACCAACCCTCCATTTTTAGTCTTCAACAAGGAGCTGAAAACAGATTTTCTGAAGATTGAAGATTTTCTGGAGCAGACCCTCTCACCACCTAAGTATCTTCATTCCCTATTTCAAACGTCCATTCCATTTCTTACTCAAATTTCTTTCCAAATTTTAGTGTAGTGTATATTGGAGGTAGAGACCCTTTGAAAGCTCTGCATGCAAGGAAATTTCATTTTAAGGCATGCCGGTTACGTACCTTCAAAGTGACAATAAAGTTATTCTAAGTCTAAAAAATCTAAAGAATGCCACTTCTCTGAAGGGGTGGGCTTCAAAAAATTTTAGCAAGGGGTTCTCTGCCCTGTTGCTGGGTGGGCGTGGCCATGGTGGGCATGGCCTAGTCGACCTCCTGCACCATGAGGGGGGGTGTTTTTGCCCTCCCCAGGCTCCAGAGGCTTTCCTCGAGACTCCGGGAGGGTGAAAACGGCCTCCTCAGGCTCCGGAGGTCCTTGGGAGGCTGGATATGGACCCGTTTCTGGCGTTCTCGAACTTCCAGTAGGCCTGTTTTTCACCCTCCTCGAGCCTCCGCGTGCACCCTGCACTTACCTGCGTCCAAAACTGGCCGCATGGGGACTCCTGGGAGGGGAGGGGAGGGGTGGGCGGGGCCAGCCAGGAGTGGGATTTGGGGGTTCTCCGAACTGCACAAAATCTTAGCTAGAGGTTCTCCCGAACCCCTGCGAATCTCCAGCAGTCCACACCTGCTTCTCTGTCTCTATCGCCTTATTTCAGCTGTGCATTCTTGGCAGACTCTGTTGTGGGTGGGTGGGTGGGGGAGGCATTTTGGGGGTTTTGTTCCAAGCGAGGCTAAATCTAAATACAGAATAATAGAGTTGGAAGGGATCTTGGAGGTCTTGTCCAATCTCTTCTTTAAAAACCTCCAGTGTTGGAGCACCCACAATTTCTGGAGGCAAGCTGTTCCACCGGTGAATTGTTCTCACTGTTAGGGAGTTTTTCTTTAATTCTAGGTCGCTTCTCTCCTTGACTAGTTTCCATCCATTGTTTCTTGCCTTGTCTTCTGGTTCTTCGGAGAATAGGTTGACTCCCTCTTCTTTGTGGCAGCCCCTCAAATATTGGAAGACTGCTATCAGGTTACCCCTAGTCCTTCTTTTCTCTTGTAGGAAGTTAAAACCCACCCCTTTCCTAGAAAAATGAAATATTGTAGGAAATATTAAAAGGGCAGAGTATTTCCCCTAAAAGGGAGGCAGAAACCCTGCCCCCCCCACACACATACACACCTTTGTCAATGGGTCATTAAGGCCTGAGTCAGTCTATTCTACATAACAAAGACCTACCTCCTTCAGACAGAACCATTTAATTGCCCTTCATTGCATCACCCAACAAGATTCGACCAAACTTAGCACACAGACAACCTACAAAGCTAGCCATGACCTCCGCCAGCAACCAATCAGGATGCTCTTCCTGTGCGCCAGGAAGTTCAAAGCCAGAGAGGGTATAAAACCGAAGGACTCTCAGCATCTCTTCCCTTTTTTTCCCCACCCAAGATCTCCAAGGCATGTGATCCTGTTCATCAATAGACCTTCTTTCCAAGCAACTTCCAGGAATCCAGTGTGACTTTTCCCCCACTTGGAACTGAACCCAGAGGATATTTCTTCCAACAATTTATACTAGCCATAGCCAATTCCTGCAACCGTTCTTCATCTGTTTTAGCCTCCAGTCTCCTTAATTATCCTAGTTGCTCTTTCCTGCACTCTTTCCAAAGCCTCAACATGTAACCAGGCCAGTGATGGAATTCAATTTTTTTTTTACTACCAGTTCTGTGAGCATGGCTTGGTGGGCGTGGTGTGGCTTAGTGAGTGTGGCCACCAAGTATCCACCCCACTCCAGGCGAAGGATATTGCAAAATCCCCATTCCCACCCCACTCTTAGGAGAAGGATCCTGCAAACTCTCCATTCCCATCCCATTTCAGGGAAAGGATACTGCAAAATCCCCATTCCCTTCCCACTCCTGCAGGAAAGATATTGCAAAATCACCATTCCCACCTCACTCCAGGGGAAGGATACTGCAAAATCACCATTCCCTCCCCACTCCTGGGGGAAGGATACTGCAAAATCACCATTCCCTCCCCACTTCAGGGGAAGGATATTGCAAAATCTCCATTCCCTCCCCACTCCAGGGGAAGGATACTGCAAAATCACCATTCCCTCCCCACTCTGGGGCCAGCCAGAGGTGGTATTTGCCGGTTCTCCGAACTACTCAAAATTTCCACTACCGGTTCTCCCGAACCTGTCAGAACCTGCTGGATTTCACCCCTGAACCAGGCGCGTTCAAAGGTCTGCTTTGCTCAACGTCATTTAACCTCTGCTTGGCAATTCGGCCATTCTGAACCCTGTTTACACGGAAGGACCGAAGGGACAAAGAGGCATGTTGCAGAGATGACTTCTGGCAGAGAGGCTGCGGTCCGATGGTCCTCGATGAGAGAGGGACAGCTTGCAAGAGCCATCTGTTTCCCACCAGGACCGGGGAGGAAACCTGGTGGCCAGAGAGATTAAAAAACAATGAAGGGAAGGGAAGCATCGGACAGAGGACAAATGGAAAGGCTAGGGGGAAAGAGAAAGAGGGGAGAGCTTTCTTGCAAAGAGACACAAATGCCGCAAGAAAGGTCCCATTTGTGGTTAGGAGAAGGGGGGGTAGTTTTGTGCCTCTTTGCAGAGCTGCCGAGGCAGGGTTGCCTAAGAAAGTCCCCTCCTCCCTCCTTCTCTCTCTTTTTTTTAAAGAATTGAAAAGTGGCCACTGGAGCCAAAAGAAACGCTCAGCTCCAAAGGTTGGAAGGGAGGCCAAGATGCGCTCATTGTTGGCAGCCACTGTCTGAATTGTCTGATTGCAGCTGCAGTAAACAGGGAGGCTCTTGAAAGGACAAGAGCCCCAAAGGAGAGCATTCCTTGCAGTGCGTCATACGTGTATGTGTGTGAGAGAGAGAGAGAGAGGAGAGAGAGGGAGGGAGAGAGAGAGGGCAGGACCTTCCTTTTTACCATATAGGAACAGGCAGATCTCTATTTTATAATCTCTCTCCTCTCCTTCCCTCTTTCCCCTTTTTTCCTCTTTCCCTCCCTCTCCTTTCTCTCCTCTCTTTCTCTCACACTCTCCCTTTTTTCCCTCTCCCCTCTCTCCTCCTCTCCCTCTCCCCCTCTCTTTCTGTCTCTGTCTCTGTCTCTTCTTTCTTTCCCTCTCTCCCCTTTTTTCCTCTTTCTCTCCCTCCCCCTCTTTTCTCTCTTTTCCTCTTTCTCTCCCTCTCTCCCTTTTTTTCCTCTCCCCTCTCTCCCCCTCTCCTTCTATCTCTGTTTCTGTCTCTCTCTCCTCTTTCTTTCCCTCTCTCCCCTTTTTTCCTCTCCCCTCTCTCCCTCTCTCCTTCTATCTCTGTCTGTCTCTCTCTCCTTTCTCTCCTTCTCTCTCCCTTTCTTTCTCTCCCTCTCTCTCTTCTCTTTCTCTCCCTCTCTCCTTTTTTTCCTCTCCTCTCTTTCTCCCCCTTTCCTTCTGTCTCTGTCTCTGTCTCTCTCTCTCTCACACACACACACACACACACAAACTGCAGTCAATGAAGTGGGCTTGCAATAATGAGTGCCCTTCTGATGTCTCAGACTACAATATAATCCTCAATATTGGCACGATGATATTTAGCTGGGGGAAATAATAAACCCACCCATCGCGAGATGGGCCACGTATAAATTTTAATCAATCAATCAGTAAGTAATGGTGGGAACCGTAATCCATCCCATCCAAAAGGGACCAGGCTTGGGGAAAATTGCCCTAGATTATACCAGGAGAATCGTGTTCTTTTTAATGCTCTCGGTTTCTCAGTTACATTGTGGAAACTCACCAGAAAAGGCACTAAAATGTCCAGAGGCAAATGGAAGGATAAGAAAATAGAGATGGCATGGCAATGTTGCCCTCTAGCGGCCAAAACTTTTAATTGCTTGTATTTACCCATCTGTCTCCTTTTTGCTTAGCCTGAATACCACACCTCCTCCTCCCTCTCCCTCTCCCCCTCTCCTCTTCCTCCCTCTCCCTCTCTCCTCTCCTTCCCACTCTTCTCCTCCTCCTCCCTCTCCCCCTCCCACTTTCCTCCTCTTCCCTCTCCTCTTACTCTCCCTCACACTCCGACTCTTCTCCTCCTCTTCCCTCTCCCTCTCCCCCTCTCCTCCTCCTCCTCTCTGTCCTCCTCTCCCTCTCCCCCTCTCCCCCTCTCTTTCCCCCTCTCCTCCTCCTCCTTCTTCTCCCCTCCCTCTCCCCTCTTCCTCCTCCCTCTCCCCTCCCTCTCCCCCTCCTCTCCTCACTCCCCCACTCCTCCTCCTCCTCCCTCTCCCCCTCTCCCTCCCACTTTCATCCTCCCTCTCCTATTGCTCTCCCTCTCCTCCTCCTCCCTCTTCCCTCTCCTCCTCCTCCCTATCCTCTCGCTCCCACTCTCCTCCTCCTCCCTCTCCTCCTCCTCCTTCTCCCTCTCCCCCTCCCGCTTGTTGGGAATGACTTCCACTAACAAAACCTGGAGACTTTATTAAAAGAAAATAATAACAGCCGTTTGCAAAATGCAATGGGTATCCCAGCAGAGACCTGAACAAGGATCTTCGAGCCAGGAAGCCACACCTGGAAATTTCAAAAGCATTACATTTTATAGTTTTCTATCCCGACGCTGCCAATGCCCCTTCTACATCGGATCCAGTGACCCATCACAGCTAATCCAAGGCGCCTTCAGAGACAACATCATCTCTTCCTCTAATTACATGTCCATCAACACCTCCCCATAACTCTACCCATAAAATATTTTGCAAGCATGCCTTTTTCTTATCGCTTTCTCCTTGGCATTAAGGAAAGTCCCCTCTTTCTAACAGTCCTAAAACAAAAGAACATCTATTTCTAACACAACACTTGTTACACTGTTAGATATATTTTTGTGTACTTTCAGCAAGTCTTTTCTCCAACTACTGTGTTTCCCCAAAAATAAGACCCTGTCTTATATTTTTTTGAACCCTGAAATAAGCGCTTGGCCTTATTGCCATGCACTCAAAAGCCCGATTGGGCTTATTATCAGGGGAGTTCTTATTTGGGGGGAAACAGGGTATCTTAAAGCAGAATAATGTTTATATGCATTTCTAACCTATATGCATACTATTTTTATTTTTGAATTTTCTTATTTCCTGTACGCTCCCACTCTTCTCCTCTTCCTCCTCCTCCCTCTCGCTCTCCTCTTGCTCCCATCCTTCTCCTCTTCCTCTTCCTCCTCCTCCTCCTCGCAGGTGAGAGGACCTGCAACCTTTAATAATTTCCAATGCTGGTAAGGAGATTTCAGGTGATGCTCTTTGTCATCCAAGTGACAGCAGCTGAAATGCACATCTTAGACAATCCTGTTCTTTGTGATTGAGCATTCAATTATTTCCTTGCTAAATGTTTCTAGGTTGACCCTGTAGCATCCTCAAATTTCCATTCTCCGTTTCCTGGTCATTGTGATCTAGCCCAGAGGTCTCCAAACTTGGTAACTTTAAGGCTTCTGGACTTCAACTCCCAGAATTCCCTAGCCAGCATGTCTTCTCCACCCCATGGCTGGCTGGGGAATTCTGGGAGTTGAAGTCCAGAAGTCTTAAAGTCGCCAAGCTCGGAGACCTCTGATCTAACCTTATGATAATTGTAGTCCAATAACATCCTTGGTTATTGGTCTAGAATTCTAGAATAAATTGCTTCTTGCAAGAATTAGAAGTTCTCTTGGTTTATAATGGTAGAAAAGAGTGTTTTTTATTTATTACCTATCTACAGTAGTGGCCAAAATTGTGGAAACTTTTTGGGAAAAGTGTATTTTCTAAAACTAGCTAGTGACACTTTTTTTTTTAGTAGTACCATAAAATTATATATCAAGAAAGATAATTTAATCAAGAATGCAATGCAATAACTTTTATGAAGGATTTGCTATTAGAATAGCAGTTACAGTATAAAGAAGAAAAGTGAAACACGTAGAAAAAAAATGAGATCTATAAAAATTATCACCATAAAAAAAACAAGATATACCAAAATAATCACCATGTCAGTTAATACTTAGTTGGGGAATCGTTAGCATGAATTGCAGCCTTACAACGTCTTCCCATGGAGTGAACCAAGTCTTTTAATTCTGCAGCTGTTCTAATGTGAAACCAAGATTGAATGATGGCTTCTATTAACTGGGTTTTATTGCTGGGTCGCTTCCGACTAACAAGTTTCTTTAATCGGCTGCATAGATTTTCAATTGGGTTAAGATCTGGGCTATTCCCAGGCCATTCCAGGAGTGGAATAGGATTATCTTGAAATTCCAAAAAAAAAAGTGGTGTTATTAGCCATCAAACCTCAAAAATACACTTTTCCAAAAAGGTTTCCACAATTTTGGCCGCTACTGTAAGGCTCTGGTTATTCAGGCTTTTGATCTCAGGTGTATCATCGTAACTTTCTCTGCTTTAAAAATCTTGTCTCATTGCTCTTCCAAGATTGATTTCTAAAACAGTGATTTTGAAGCAAATGTGTTGTGTTATTCATTGGCGTGGAAGAAAGTTAACTTCGCATTTTCTTGTTAAGGTACCCACAGCTCACTCCCCAAAACAAGGAGTCCATGGATGTGGGCAGAAACATTTTTGCCAAATTCTCCACGTACATCAAGAACCCCCACAAGGAAGCAAATAAAAGTAAGGAAGGGGGAAAAACACAGGTGTGTTTTTCTCACGCGGGGATTTTTTTCTTTTAAAAAAAAATACCTCTTACAAATGTTTTTGTCCGATATGCAAAATTAGTCCTTGGCTTACAACCATTCATTTAGTGACTATTCGAAGTTACGAGAGCACTGAAAAAAAGTGACTTATGACCAATCCTCACACTTACAACCTGTTCTGTCCCCCGTCCTCACACAGACAAATGCAATATCCAACACAATAATGTATTGTATAAACAGACCAGAATTCCTGGCAGACGAGAGTTCTGGCAGCTACTTGTAAAACACCTGCCAAATCCAATTAGTACTCCCAAAAAGCAAGAGAGGCCTTATCTGCAGTCCGTTTCCAGAGCGACAAATTATCCACAAGAGTTTAGTCCAAAATATATCTGAGCCGAAGTGCAGGATTCACAATGTGACTCTTTAGAGTTTAAACATTTGTCCGTCACAAAGCCTGCCGAGCAATCATGCCCCCTTTTATCCCTTGTGGGGCGTGGCTCAGTGACTCAGCTCAATCCATGGTCTTCCCATGCCTCTTCCTTTGCTGCGCACGCTTCTCCCTCCGACGCTGCCTGGGATCAAGCCAAGATTCATCAGTATCACTCTCTATCAATGGGTGCTCCGAAATGCCTTCCTCCTGGCACATCCCAGGCTGTTCCTCCTGGCCTTTGGATGGAACCTGAGGCATTGCCAGAGAGGAAGGTCCTGGAGAGGGAGGCCTTGCCAGTTCCTCCCCCTCACCTTCTGAGTCCTCTTCCTCCATGAGGACAGACTCGGGAGTCGGAGTCACAACACTACCATTCCCCATGTTCCCCTGATCAAAATTGTAGTGCTTGGCAAACTGGCATGCATTTAGAATGATTCAATGTCCCACGTAATGGGGTCACCATTTGAGGCCTTCCCAGATGGCTCCTGAAAAGCCCAAGTCAATAGTACTTACGTACTTTCCACCGGGCCCTCAAAACTTTTTTATTTCAACAAGCCGGGCTGGCCTAACTCTCCAATTGTTTAATTTTAATGTTAATTTTAAATGGGGTATTTTAATTGTTGGGCCAAATTGTTTAATATATTTTTAAATTGTTTTTAAATTTTGTATTCTATGTTTTTTACTTCTGGCTGTTCACCACCCTGAGTCCTTCGGGAGAAGGGCGATATATAAATTCAAAAATAAATAAATAAATAAATAAATAGATAAATAAATAAATAAATAAATAAATAAATAAATAAATAGGGAAAGCTGGTTTCGCTTAACAACCGCATGATTCACTTAACAACTGTTAAGTGTACAGAAAGATCCTATTCTGCCCCAGCTACAGATCCCAAAGAACACAGCACTCACAAACTCTGAACATAACTTAGTTTACTCAAATAACGCAGTTTTAGCAAATGCCGGCTATTAATAAGCGTTCTTAACAGCCTGCCAGAATTCCACAGATAAGATAGTCAGAGTCTTACTGGAGTTGGCAGAAAGCCCGGAAGCAAGGTTGCAGAGACATCCCAATGCAATGATTAGTGAACTAAAGTTGTTTCCTGCAGGTTGTTACAAGCTGCATTCTTTCTTAAATAGGCTAAGGGCATGGCCAATTAGCCCCAAGCCTTACTCTCGAGGAGACCTCCTCCTGAGGAACCACTCCTGCCTTTTGGCAGCTCTGCATGCCCGTGCATTGAGAAGAGGCTCCTCCTCTTCCTCCTCTTCACTTAAAGGAGCCTCTGGAGGTTCTGAAAGCCCTGACTGAATCCCCGCCTCTGGCACCACATCTTCTCCAGCCTCCTCGCTGTCTGACTCAAGCGCCGGCTGCACAGGCTGCTGGCGCAGCACCACACCAGCCTCCTCGTCGTCAGGATCAGCAACAATCCGCACAGGCCGCTGGCGGGCCACAACAGATCTGTGGTGGCGCAGCGGTTAGAATGCAGTACTGCAGGCTACTTCTGCTGACTGCCAGTTGACTGCAATTTGGCAGTCCGAATCTCAATCTCAATCCAATCTCACCAGGCTCAAGGTTGACTCGACCTTCTGTCCTTCTGAGGTTGGTAAAATGAGGATCCAAATTGATGGGATCTATATGCTGTCTCTGTAAACCGTTTAGAGAAGGCTGTAAAAGCACCGTGAAGTGGTATATAGATCTAAATTCTATTGCTATTGCTATCATAAAACCGGGCATGACTAACTTAACAAGCACTTTGGTTAGCAATGGAAATCCTGGTCCCCATGTGGCTGTAAATCAAGGACCATCTATAAGCCATTAGAATTGAAGAATGATGCATTGGTTTCCACGTCTTTTTCTTGTGCTTCAGGTTTGGAGAAAGGTTTGCTGAAAGAATTCCAGCGCTTGGATGATTACTTAAGAAATCCCCTGCCTGAAGAAATTGACCAGAACTGTGTTGAAGACCTTCTGGTTTCTGAAAGGAAATTCCTGGATGGAAACCGAATGACATTAGCAGACTGCAACCTTCTCCCCAAACTCAACATCATCAAGGTGAATGTAGTTTGCTCTTTGCTGGACCTTCATTTCTTTTTCTCAGATGAGTTATAGCCCCTTAAGTTTTGTCTTCCTTTCTCGTCCGAATTTGTGGTGAAGCAGTTTATTGCTGAATTATAATAGCAACCCTTTGATCTCAGTCTCTCCAGCTCTATTGTTTGGAAGTTTAGAAAGGAAGGAAGGAAGGAAGGAAGGAAGGAAGGAAGGAAGGAAGGAAGGAAGGAAGGAAGGAAGGAAAGAAAGAAAGAAAGAAAGAAAGAAAGAAAGAAAGAAAGAAAGAAAGAAAGAAAGAAAGAAGAAAATCATATATCTGAATAACATATATAAATTTAACACTATAGATCCATGATGGCGAACCTATGGCACGCGTGCCACAGGTGGCACATATAGCCATATCGGTGGGCACGTGAGCTCAGCTCTGGTGCACATGCGTGTGCTGGCCAGCTGATTTTTGGGCCTTCTGGGCCCACCGGAAGTTGGCAAACAGGCCATTTCTGGCCTCCGGAGGGCCTCCAAGGGGGTGGGGAAGGCCATTTTCACCCTTCCCAGTCTCCTAGAAAGGCTCTGGAGGCTGGAGAGAGCAAAAAACAGGCTAACCATGCCATTGTGTGCCAGTAGCGGGGGAAGGGGGGTCGCACACACATGCGCGGGACAGGGTACATAGAATTATGGGTGTGGGCACGTGCGCCCGCCCCCCCTGCTCCTGGCACACAATGGCAAAAAGGTTAGCCATCACTGCTATAGATAGATAGATAGATAGATAGATAGATAGATAGATAGATAGATAGATAGATAGATAGATAGCTGAGCTGAGGCAGACTGGAGCCAGGGCGTGTCTTAGTCTACAGCTTCTGAGTCTGTGCAGAGAAACTGAAACCACAGTGTGTGAACTAGTCTGCTCTGCTGAAATGAAACTAATTGTTCTCTCCTGCCTTGTGTTTTGCCTGTAACTTCTACCACATTGAAGAATCAACTATTGGTACTGTAAATACTTCATCTGTTATTATGTATATAAAGAAGTTAATGAATCCAGCTGAATCAGTTACCTGTGTGTGCTTCTGGATCTGATTTTTGCAAGATGCTCTGATACACTTGGCTCTGACCCTGGGTGATCTGTTCATTTTCTCACTGGCATCTTTTTCTTCGTTGGTTCTCTCTCCCACTTTCTAGATTGCCGCCAAGAAGTATCGCAACTTTGAGATCCCTTTGGAGATGACTGCGGTTTGGCGCTATCTCCACCATGCTTATGCCCGGAATGAGTTCAGCCACACTTGTCCAGCTGACGAGGAGATTGAACGCACTTACGCCAGCGTGGCTAAGAAGATGAGCTAAAGACTAAGCTCTGGAAGTTGGTGCCTGCAAAGGTCTACCAGCGAGTTGGGTGTGCAATACTGACCCCACCCCACAAGCTGAATATTCTTCATGTACTAGTCTTTAAAAAAATACTTCGTATTTTTAGGAGAAGAATTCATTGTAGTCATCTTTTTCTGCCAAATCTTTTGACCATGAGTTGGTCATATATGAGAGACTAGCTGGATACCCGTCCTCCGCTATGAAACTATGTGATCGGGCTTGATAAATTGACACTTACAGCTTGAAAATTAATGAGTAGTTATGATCGGCCTCCTCTCCCCTTCTCTCCCTCAGACTTGCCCCACAGAGGCCTCTCCTATCTTATCCCCTTCTCTCCCTCAGACTTGCCCCACAGAGGTCTCTCCTATCTTTTCCCCTTCTCTCCCTCAGTCTAATTCCTTAGCATCAGCGTATTTTTCAGGTGGGGAGGGAGAGTAGAATGTCTAAACTCCCAGCCCAGACTGAATGAGTCATGTACTGGCCACACCCACGCCCAAGTGGCAGTTGGAACAGAGTTCTTTTCAGATGGGGAGGGGGAGTAGAATTTCTAGCTTCCTTGGCATCAGAGTGTGTTAATAATAATATAAGAAATACTAATGATCTGATGGTCATTTCGAAAAATCCTTTCTTAGCGAGCACCAAGAAGCCAAGAGGAACGTATGTGCCAAATTTCAAGTTTGTAGGCTTTACGGTTCTGGAGATTTCATGATGATACATGAGTGGTATTTCGCTTTTATATAGCGAGATTATTCTTTTGGCGTTTCTTCACCTGCGTGTACACTTTTCATGGAGCAAAAGGTAGTTAAATCTGACCCTCCATCGTGGTTAGTTCTAAATTCTGTTAAGAGATTCCGGGACATTTTTACAAGACTTCCAAGAATCAACTGGATCAAACACTACCTTGTTGAAGAAGATTATGTGCCTCTGCGCCTAGGAAGGATATATATATATATTTTCATGCAGACTTCTAGGTTGGGGGCCTGAGCGCCTTCCTTGCAGTTTCTTCTCTTGGACACCAAAAGTGCCTCTGTGGTTTCTAGAGTCTCAATATCTTTTTTTATAGAGTGGTGACCAAAATTGGATGTAAGATTCTAGCCTTTATAGAGTGGTATTAGTACCTCACTTGATTTCCCCAGCCAGCATGTCCACAAGTCCACAAATCTTAAAGTTGTCAAGCTTGGAAACCCTTGCTGTAAATAAATAAGAGCGCTCTTTGCAAAGCAAAGATAACAGATATTCATAAAGTACTGGATTCGTTTAATCTTAAATCGTCCTCTCTGAATTTCTTATGCAAGACACACATTAGGAGTCACAAAACACTAAGCCACAATATCTCTAAGAGCTTTTCAATTTTCTTTGTAGCAACAAGGAAAGGAAAATCCTGGCTTTTTTAAAAAAAAATAAAAAATAGATGTGTCTGTTTACTTTGTATTCCTGTAATGATAATAAACTTTATTTTATATACAACCTCCACTGCTGACTGAGATGATATTGATGGTAGTTACTGATCTGTAAAATAAACGCACTCGAGTTCAAAGGGTTTCTTCCATCAAATTCAGCTAAAATCTTGTAGCCGGATCAAGAGATGTCAAAATCACACATTACATACAAAAATGCAGAGATCCAACAGAAAATACATTCCAGAAATAATGTCCCCAAGGTGCTTTTTCAAAAGGCAACTGGACTTCTTTTTTTTTTCCTCGCTTAGCTCATGCGTGGTGCTTCTGCGCATGTGCAGAAGGATCTGGGCATGCGCAGAGTGTCCATGATGACGTCCAGGCTGGTGTTCTGTCCCCGTCCCACACACACACACCAACAGACGTCCAAGAGTTAAAAACCAAACCAGCCGACAAAATCCTTTTCCTTATGATAACGGAAATTGGCAGCAACCTAGTGGCTGCCTGCCAAGAGTTTATTACTCACGAAGGGAAGAGATAACTTCTCTCCGCTTTTGGTACATCAAAGTAAAATGTTCAATAATTACAGAGTAAATTAAGTCCAAATATAATCCAGCAAAGCCTATAGCAAAAGTCCGGCAATGCAGAATGGCGTGGAAGCTTTCAGCTTTGTTCTTCACAAGGCTTGACTGGCCACCACACTCTCTTTTATACCCTGTGGGGTGTGGTCCAGTGACTCAGCCTAATCTCTGGCATGCCTCCTCTTCTGTTGTGTGCGCTTATCTCTCCGACGCTGGCGTGGATCCAGCCAAGACTCATCCCCGTCACTGTCCGACTGTGCCTGCACAGGGATACCTGGCTCCTGGCCAATCTCTTTTCCGTCGGGAGACACCTGAGGCATTGCCAGAGAGAAGGGTCCTGGAGAGGGAGGCCCAGCCAAGTCTTCTCCTTCCTTTTCGGAGCCTTCTTCCTCCGATAAGATGGGCTCGGGGGTCGGAGCCACAACAGCTGGTGTGCAGAGCCTCCTGCCACCGCCACCACTGCTTCTCATCCAAGAAGCTTCTTCAGTTCTGACTGAATGGTGGAGAATGGAAGCAGTGGTGGGTTGCAACCGGTTCACCCCGGATCGGGAGAACTGGTAGCAGCAGCAGCAGCAGCAGAAGGCTCCGCCCACCCGACCGGATGCTTCTGCACATGCGCGCATGCACCCACGAGCGAACCGGTAGCGATGGGTTTTGAAACCCGGCCCTGAATGGAAAGATTGATATTCCTTTGCAGTCATCTGGTCATTAGTACTCTCCCTGAGTGATAACGGCAAGGAATATCAATCCTTCCATTCTCCACCATTCAGTCAGAACTGAAGAAGCTTCTTGGATGAGAAGCAAAATGTCTTCAAGGGAAAAAAAAAAGTCCAGTTGCCTTTTGAAAGACAACCATGACCTGAAATGACTGAGAATTTCCATAGACTTCCAGAAATAATATAACTCTTTTGAGGGTCACTATTATAGAAATTGCTTAAGATTGGATGCAAATAGGGTTTGAGAAATCTCAAACCAAGATTGTGTAAGGCAGCCTTTCCCCTATAATGCCCTCTTCATTCTGAATAGTTTTCTTCTTTAAAAAAAGAACTCAGGATAACCTCACCCCACCCCGATATTTACAAAATGGGTAGAGCAGGAAGGAGAAAAAGAATAGAAATATTCTTCCATAAATCTGCCAGGAAGGTTGTTGAACTTTGCTTTATTTCTCCTCTTCCAAGAAACAAAATTAAATCTTTTTTTTTTCTGTATATAACTTTTTATTATTTTTTATAAAAACAAACAAACATTTAGTACATCTGTCGCTCCCTCCCTGTGACATCTCGGTGTTATCTTCAGTCGTTCTTCTTCTTCTTCTTCCAAAAAGGGAACTTTCTTCTATCTTCATCTTTATACAAACCATTTTAATATCTCCTTACTAAAACAAAATTCTGCCTATCAAATTTTTAAAAATAATCATAAAGCTTTCATAAAGCTGTGCAGAAATGAATAGATTGACTTTAAGGATTAAAGATAGGGAAGAGATAGAGAATGATAGAATATGGAACTGTTTCTATTATGGGTTGGAAAAGAGATATAAAAGATAAACAAAATTAAATCTTATCTCCCACTGTCTGTGAGAAGGAAGCTTCAGTTTGCAAATTCCAAGTTTGGCTCATTAAAAATGAATACTGTATTTTTCGGAGTATAGGACGCGCCGGAGTATAAAATGCAGCTTAATTTTGGGGGAGGAAAATAGGGGAGGGGGGAAATCTTCCTACCAGGTATTCATCTGGCTAGCGTTCTTAGTCTGGTCAGCTTCAGCACATTAGTTTGCTGGATTTTTATCCCCTGCTTGGAGATAAAAAAAACAGCTTCTAAGGCACAGCTGAGAGGAAGCAGCAATGAGAAAAGCAGGCAAAGCACAGGGAGATCGCTTCACTTAGCTAGCACCTAGTTAGGGCTGAAGAAAAGCTTCTAAAGAACAGCTGAGAGTTGGAGCAAAGCATGGAGATCGCTTCACTCACTAGCGCCTCCTTACAGCACAGTGGAGAGTCGAGGGAGCAGGCAAAGCTGGGAAGATCGCTTCACTCAGCTGGCGCCTAGTTAGGGCTGAAGAAAAGCTTCTAAAGAACAGCTGAGAGTCGGAGCAAAGCATGGAGATCGCTTCACTCACTAGCGCCTCCTTAAAGCACAGCCGGAGAGTCGAGGGAGCAGGCAAAGCTGGGAAGATCGCTTCACTCAGCTGGCGCCTAGTTAGGGCTGAAGAAAAGCTTCTAAAGAACAGCTGAGAGTCGGAGCAAAGCATGGAGATCGCTTCACTCACTAGCGCCTCCTTAAAGCACAGCCGGAGAGTCGAGGGAGCAGGCAAAGCTGGGAAGATCGCTGGCTAGTGCCTCATTAGCACCTCGTTAGAGCTGAAAAAAAAGCTTCGAAAAAGCTACATTCAGAGTATAAGACGCATCCAAATTTTCAGCCTCTTTTAGGGGGGGGGAAAGGTGCGTCTTATACTCCGAAAAATATGGTAGTTAAAGTTCCAGGAGGAGAGCCCTGCTAGGCTTTGGTAGCCACAAATCAGAAGGTCCCTGGCCGCATCTTTTCAGAGAAATAAATTTTGTTGAAAGCATAAACTTTCACCAACTACGACTCTCTTCATCCAATGGGGAGGACCTACATTTTACAAGCATTCATCAGATACATGGAGCCCTGCGTTTGACGAAATAAGCTGTAGGATCACAGAAGCTTCTGCTTTTTAATCAAATCCGTATTTCTGAAAATATGCTTATCTTGAGCCAGCCGTGTGCTGCAGCTGCTAAAAAAGCCAACACAGTTCTAGGCTGCATCAACAGAGGAATAGAATCAAGATCACATGAAGTGTTAATACCACTTTATGATGCCTTGATAAGGCCACACTTGGACTCCTGCATCCAGTTTTGGTCGCCAAGATGTAAAAAAGATGTGGAGACTCTAGAAAGAGTGCAGAGAAGAGCAACCAAGATGATTAGGGGACTGGAGGCTAAAACATATAAAGAACGGTTGCAGGAACTGGGTATGTCTAGTTTAATGAAAAGAAGGACTAGGGGAGACATGATAGCAGTGTTCCAGTATCTCAAGGGCTGCCACAAAGAAGAGGGAGTCCCCTACCCAGTAAAACTAAAACATCGCTGAAGAAACAGGAAGCAAACTGGAACTCACAGAGATCAGGAAGTGTTTTATTTACAGGGCAATGCAAAATATTGAATCATGACCCACATGACAGATTAGATGGGGAAGTGACGAGTGGCTGCAAAAGTGAAAGCCACTTTCTGGAAGGCTTGATCTGAAGATGTTCTCTTGGGGGTGGGGGGTGGAAATTGCAGTTTGAGCAGACAAGGCACAGCTATTCCCCAAGTTCAGTTGGTGACACAATACTTCCAGAAACAAGCTGAAAAAAGAAGAAATTAATGAACAGCAAGGAACAGTCTTTGTTTCTCTTCCTTCAGAAGGCTTCTGCTATTATAATTGCAGTATTATAAATTCTTTTTCCCCCCTCTAACTACCTTTCACTCTGGTTGGCTGAGAATTATGGGGATTGGAGTCCACACATCCGGGGGGGGGGACATTATGATAGAGGAAACCTTCCTAGCGGGAGATTTAAATCAAAGCAACTATTCCTTTTGGGCATTTTTGAACAGAAAATGGAGAAAAAATTACAATATATAACATTACATATATTAACCGCAAGTAGAATTGTCCTAGCACAAAAATTGGAAACAATCAGATATTCCTCCAGACCAAATTATAATTTAAAAAAAATACGATTGTGCAGAAATGGATAGACTGTCTATGGAAATGAAGGAGAGGGAAGAAACCGAGCGCTATCAAATTTGGAACAGATGGTATTCCTGGCTTGAGAGCAAACATAAAATCTAAGGGATAATCTGTTAAATATAATATGTAGAAGGTAAAACTGTTGAAGAAATATAGGATATGGAACTGAATTGTGAATAGATATTACTATAATTTAAATAAGGATGTAATTTAAGATAGAGATATATAGAATTAGAATCCTTGTAAATATGTTTTGCTATGATAGAGATACCGATATGGAGAAGCTGTCGTTAGTGTTAAATTTTTGCTGTGTCTTTGTCTTTGTTTTTCTTTTTGTTGTGTTTTTTGTATTGTGTGTTTTATATGTTGGAAATTTAATAAATATTATTTTTTTAAAAAAACAAGGAATAAAAGCAGGCTAATTTAGCAATCAAACACAGAAATAAAGGAGACAAGATGAAATGACTCTTGTGATTAGACTATATCGATCAAAAGATGTAATTCATTCAAAAGAATACAAACAATAAACGTGAAGGAGAAAATAAATCAGAGCAATCAAATCCCCCTGAATTCTCCCCCCAATCTTATCCTCATTCGTGTGTCGGATGTGTTTCCATCCATGAAGTCACCTCCCCTGCACCAAAATTGTTAACTGTGGGTAAAAGGTGAAACCACTCAGCTGTGTCCGTGTCAATCTGCAATGACATCAGGGTGACAATGCATGAGTCACAATCTCATTGAGCAAATG